GTTATGAGGCACATCATTTAAACCCATCATCCGTTCAACATCGAATATGCTATGTAGTATTTTCGAGCGATCCTCGGACGCCTTGGATTGATGTTCAGACGAAGGAAAGGATGCTTCTAACATTGATTTGAATGCTTTCGATTTATCAGTATTGTATCCGTACTTTTCCATCAAATAGTAAATTTGGAGAGATCAGGCTTCTCTCGTTGCTGTACGCGCCTGGGCTTCAAGAAAATAGAGGAACGTCCTCTGAGTAACTTGTATACCTTCTGACCTCATGTTCAATATTTTTTTCGTACGCTTTTGACAAGGGAAATTCTTCTTCTGATAATCTATTAGCAAATATTTGGAACTGAACTATCGCATTATAATATTGTCTACTCGCACATGGTAATTGTAAGTTATTTACGGAAAAGCTTTCCACTAGTCGGGTCCATGATTCAAAAAAAGCGCTCATGTCTGAGGTTTGTGACCTGTGAGACGGCACACCTAGCCTTTCATTAACGCCTTCGATACTCTCAACTTCGGCCTTGAGCGCACCGAGATGTGCTTTCATCAGCATCAGCGAGAAGACAAGTTTCGTTCGAAGAGGTGCATCTGATTCCTTGCTATCTCGCATTTGATTGACTAATGGTAACCACTCACTTACGAGCTTCTCTGTTTCTACGATATTCCCTTGCTCGGCCCAGTAGGCGGCCAGCGTAACAAGTGGATTAGTCAATGGTAAATATTTGGATTCCTCTTTAATTTGCTCGAGCTGTTCCATTGCTCGCGAAATTTGGTATTTTCGTGCAAGTGCCCAAGATTTTTATGACTATTGTAGATTGTCCAGACTGCTCAATCCGTTTGATCACTGAATTAAGGACATTAACATCTTTGCTAGTGCTACTACCCAATGCCTTTTGGAGTGATCAGTACTTTAGCGCAGATCATATCATGCAAATGCATTATCAACTTACACGTAATACGACTTTCCAAATATCTCTGTCATATGGCTCGGGCACCGTCTGCAAACACTTTTCGGCCAACTTGAACGTAGCTTCAGCTAGTTCTGAATCTTCTAAATTCGGTTGGTCTGAATATGCATATTTCCTTGATTTTGCGACAAGTGGCTTAGTCAGAATGATAAGGGGGGTAATATTCACGCCGTAATCGGCAATAGTGATTTTAGTTCCGAGAAAAAGAATGAAGTAAAGCATGCCATAAATATTTATCCATTTTAACTTTTGACGGCACATTTGCACTGGTATCCTCAAGTGGTAAGAGGTCTTGTTTTTTGAAAGTGAGATAATTTTGAACAAATAAGAATAAGTTTTTTTTGTCGGATAGACATCAAGCGAGAGATCTGTAGCATCTGTGATATGACATTGAGTGCACTCTGAAGGTCTCCTGCCTCCGTACAAGCCTGCGGTACAACATGATATACTTTTCTTGTCGGTTGAACGTTTTGTTGCTTCGCCTGAATGAAGGTTGAAGCAACCGACCTTAGATCGGATTTCGAGATATGATCCAACAAACTCTTCCTGTTTTGCATTCGGAATACCAGTTGGATCAGACACACTGGGTGTGGTTGCAATTGCGGAAACCAATCCCCTTGATTGCGACAATCCGCTGTAGTAATAATCTGTCCTGAAACGTTTAGAGGATTGTACAAGCCATGAACATGCATTTAAATTTATTCGACACTTTGAATGAAGGATTTTGTGACGAATCATTTGCTGCTCGATACCTCTCTATAATCACCCCCTATAATAAGTAATGAGTCAGTGATGGCGAAAAAAAAGGGCAGTCACATGGTTAAGACTGCAGTATGATTGTAATGAGTCCAAAATCGTGTGATTGTGACTAACACTATGAATGGACTGTGTGGGAGGAAAATTACTATGGGACTGAACAAATGTGTGACTGTATGGTATGGGAGGTCGATTTTGCTACGTGTATGTTTTGCGAGTGTGACCAATACTTTTTTTGGCTACATGTGTAACTTCCAAGCAGCGAAAATTGTGGCGTATGTTCACACAGACCTTCGTTACCTTTCTACAATCCAAACTTCCTCGGCAGACACTATCTCGTAATTCAGAAATGTCTTACGGCCAAGTTATTATAAATTTATTTGGTGGTCGTTCACCACTATGTTTTACAGTCCCTTCCGATGTCTTGATTCAACAGGTCAAAGCCGAGGTGGAATTGCGAACAGCAATACCTATTGCTGAACAGCGATTTACGACACTAGGGGGAAAACCATTCGAGGACAACGCATCTGTCTTCCAGGGAAGTAACAATGAGTTTGTTACTCTGAATTTAAGCTTGGGGCTGTTGGGTGGAAAGGGTGGGTTTGGGAGCATGTTGAGAGCTCAAGGTGGTAAAATGGCTAGTCAGAAGACGACCAACTTTGAAGCATGTAGAGATCTCAATGGACGCCGTTTACGGACTATTAAAGAGGCTAAAAGGTAAGTTTTATTGACTGCCAGAGAGAAAGATGAATGTTAGTAAATTCTATTGTCCACGTAAGTAACATGGTCGATATAATCGTAGGTTGGCTGATTATCTTGAAAAAGAGCCAGAACGTAAACGGGCAAGGGAGGAGAAAATTCGGAAGAAGATAGATGAGGGCTTACAAGAGCATCCGGCTAAGAAGAGTCGTTTTGACGATAATAAGTATCTACGAGATAGCCAAGAAATTATTGAAAACGTTAAAAATACAGTTGCTGAAGGTAGGTTACAACACACTTTTAATAATTTAGGTGTCTTCGATTTTGAGTTTATCGCATCAATTAATATGCTGATTTCTGTCATTTTATCATTGTCAAGTGATGAAATCAAAAAAATCGGCTTCGCAGTCTTCAAAGAAACAGACCATATCTGCGTTGACAATGTGGGATGATGTATCGGATGATGCCTCTGACGATTCTTCTGATGATGCCTCCGATGATGCCGGCGGCAATGATGTCTCGGGTAACGGTGGTAGCGATGAAGTTTCGGCCGATGAGTCCGAAGCAGAGACTAGTTGTTCTGATTATTCAAACTCTCGCGAAAGCAGCAGCGAGTAACAGCCCATGAGGTATTAACATCGAGTGCACTCGGATGAAAATGTTATCTAGGTAGATTTATGTATTATTTATGGAAAATAAACTAATTGGGGGTACAGATCCCGTTACGTTAATTATACAATCACGATGAGATGGCATATTTTTGGGACTTGTAACTTGATTGACAGATTCGTATGCTAAATCACGTTCTACTCCTTCAAAAACCAACAGAATCAAGTTCCCAGAGATGACAGTCTCGTCCCCCGGTTACCTTTGTTTCCTATTGCATTTGATGCAAAATTTGGGGTAGCGGTATTAACTTATCCACGCAGTGCGGTTCGGTGGTTACCATCTACCCTCATCAAATTGGGCGACCGTCGGGGGCAACTATGATTGTGATTGTATTGTTTCTCTCCTTGCTGTCACAACATAGGTAAACAATCCGTCATTAAACTATTATTCTTCTTTTGTATAATGCGCAATAAAATAACCCCTCATCTACATCCAGTTGACAGTATAAAACCCGTCATTTAATCAGACAGCGGTTGTTGTTGTTTTTTTCATATTGGTAAACAATCGTACTAAAGCAGTCCATTATCAATCTAGTTTTCAAACAAAAGATTAGACCAGTCCCTTCTTAAACAACTTGATATTTTAGTTTCCCAATCAATTTTTAAATTCTGACTCAAGTCGGGTTACATTAAGACAGTTGAGCGAATCAAATCGTTGCATGGACAGTGCAAAAACCATGATTGTTCAGCAAACTTTGTCTGTACGTGCGAAGAATTATTCGAAATCACTAGTAAAGATTTCGAAACTTATCACTGAAACGGTTGGTTATTAGATATCAACTGTCGGAGACATGACACACGTCATAATACGGTCGGGTATGCAATGTATCATTTATTCGTAATTGGAAACCTTTTTACATACAGATTCGATAATATATTATTGTCCATAATGACAATACGAGTATATTATCAACTGACTGACACCACACATCCACACATCCCACACCCACACCCACACCCCCACCCCCCACACTCACTACCCACGCAATCAAATGCCATTTGTTAATATCAATAGTGAATGAGTATATTACATACGTGATGACAAATGTCTGTCAAACAATCCCAAGAAGCCCGTGGCATCAAATATCATGTGTGATAACCAACCAAACATTTACGCTGGAATACATCACTTGATCAAATAAACCGAACAAATCACCGAGAATCAGATGCTGTTCATCCTCATCGCTCAGTCCAGTCTCAATATCCCTCCACACTCTTAACTCGCTTTCGCATCATATAATCTGTATCCCCACATAGATCCTTGTCTTCGACATCGCGCCTTCGTTTCTTCCCAAATAAACGTCTTTCGTGGTCTTCTAACTGCGTGATTTCTCCATCTTCCGGAGTCTCGCTTTGTGTACTCGAGAGTGTGCGATTTATAGGAGGTTGAAAGGGGAGGGGCCTAAAGTTGGTATTCTTGCAATTGATGTCTCTAATATACTTGTAATCGATACTTCTATTAACAGCATTTTTGTAATTGCCGTTCCTACTATATCTGTGATCGATACCTCTATGAATTGCATCTTGGTAATTGCCATCTCTAATATTATTCTTGTCATATCCATCTCTATAATAATAATTTTTCATTGAAGTGTCTTTGCGAACGTCCTCTCTCTGGCCGGCATCATCCTTACTTGCGATCCCTTGATATCCATTCTTCTGACTATCTTTCCAACCATCAAATTTCTGATTATATCCATTAACGGTCACCGCATTTCCCGTAGACAAATAACCGTCTCTCACCGTAAAGTTCTCTCTTACATAAACATTCCTCGGGTGACCATCTGTCATATACCCATCTCTCATATCACTAGCCCTCGACCGCCCATCCTTCAAGTATCCATCCGAAGCTCTTCGTTCCCTCTGATTTGCCCCATTCCTTTCCGAAATTTGTTCCCTCCTCCCTCCGTCTCCCTGCGATATCATACATGGCGTATCTATAAATCCATTCTCCTTTCGCTTTTGTTGCATAATCTACAAATATAGTCCATAGTTAGATATTCTACTGTATTAAGTTAGATACTATAATAATCATATACACCATCGATGGTAAAGTATAAGATAAAGCACAGATTAAGATTGAGCAGAGTTGTTTTGGAGCGAGGGAGAGTGGGATGGCTAGAGCACAGATGGAAGAGACAGAGTATAGAGAGAGAGAGTAAAAGAGACAAAAAGTGCAGAGGAAGAATGAGGGGCACAGACAGACAATAAACACAACACAGACAAACAGAGAGTATATAGTTCCAATTGAAGACATAAAGTTTATCTGAATCGGAATCACGAAAGTCACCTGAATTTCCTTGGCTATCTCTGGCTGTATTTTATACTGTTCAAGAATCATCTCTGCCGCATCTAGAGAAAATAGTTCAATCAATGTCGATAATATTTATATGAACGAACACATTATTTAAAAGACGTTCTTTACCTGCGACTTTTTGTATGTCATTATTAAGGATCGACCACCAGACTTTCCCATGGTTGGGGTCGTCATTCAAGTCGATGTTCGACAGCTTTGCAGACAGATAAAGCGCTGCACTTGCGATTGTTTGTGGCGTATGGATAAGGCAGAGGGGTGTACGCAAGCTATATGACAAGTACGTCAGTGAATATGATAGATCATGTTTTCAATGCGAAATGTAATTTGTATTAACATACCTATCGTTCACTAAACACCAGGCTTGCACAGCAAGAAGCCTCGCTGTTTCTCTGCTTTGAACTAGAGAATTGGTTAAAAGAAAAAGGTTAGGCAACATATCTAACGGACCAAACTAATTGAAATCCCAGCTTTTTGATCAATATTTTTCACCGTCATTTCAGACGTCCTTTAACAACCAAACGCATTAATTAATCTACTTCTTCATCGTGTATTCTTGCCAAATTGATACCATGGGTGGACCAAGACGATTTAATATATCGATAAGCCTAACCTTTCAGTTCTCGAGCATATCTCAAAAGCAACACATACGGATGCTCAACATTGAAATCGAAACATAATTGTGCTAAAACGATCGGCTCCTTGGAACGTATTGTTCCAGCCCACTTTTCAAACTCCTTTGGAAAGGAAAAATTCGATACAAGAAGACATGAGTAGGCGGAAATTCGTAATGCGGGAGCTACGGCTATTATTATGTCTGTATAACAAACGACGCTCTATATTCGACTAATAAATTAATCCTTTCATCGATTTACCAGACATATATTACTCATCGAAACTTACCGCTCGATTTTCGAAGCGGTCGTTCTTCTGTGCTTTCTTTGCACACGCAGTTGCAACGTCAGCCAGTTTGCGATTGCTTTCTTCAGATTTGCAGGCCAGGAACAAACATGTTCCGCCAATGTCCTATAGACGAGAGGAGAGAGAAAATGGGAATGGTATTATTCTTAGATAAAAAGACAGGAAATTTATGCGAATGGTGCCAAGTCGATCGAAAAAACCATTATTCAGAGCCGAATACGCAAATCTTTCTCAATTGTAACGTGGGTATCGCTCTTGTCAAAGACTTACGTAATGGTGGTGTTTGGCTAGTGACTGTCTCATGTAAAACCTATGTAAGTACGTAGTGGCAGTCGCTATCGTCGGTTGTGGTCTAGTGTCATTAAGGACATTTATAATAATTAATCTTTCTCTTTAAAGCTTCGTTAAACCTTCTCATAATTCTATTTAAAAGGATACAGCTTCAGCTCGTACGCACATTCTACAATAAACTTCACTCCTTTACATCGTCTCGCCATCTCTTCTTCTTTTGAGATTCCGTCAGATCTCGAGGGTGTACGGTTTAAATCGCTTTTATTAAACCGCCATTGGTTTGCAAAGACCTCCCTATTCGTATGCGAAGATGGATGTCGATTGTTGTAGTGGTTATTTGAAAAATGGTTATTCGGAACATGGTTATGGTTGTGAGTATGGTGTGATTGCGATACTTGATGGTAGTGTGTAGAGGCCATTATGAGAAGAAATGAGATGATATGGTGGGTACTTGTGATGTATAACAGGGACCACAGTTATTAATGTGAAGATTTGCCTTCATGAAAGTTGTTGAGCTCAGACTTGTAGCGAGAAATTACTTCAACATTGTCTCGATTCCATGGTTGATCGGAGTGATGCGATTGGTTATTTCAAACGAAGACGGGGGGTTGGTTCGAGCGTCGAGTCATTCATTCGTCATTACACCCATTTTTTTTTTAAAAAAAAATAAACCAACATTTGGAGACTTGCAAGTAAGTCGATACGATACGTAAATGCAAATCCAATTCATTCTCGTATGATTGTCTTTATATTTCTGATCAACGGTCAAGCAATAAACATTCCAATTATAATACAGGAATATAAACCAGGTCCGGTGACACTCATGTTTTCAGAATCCGTAGAAATTAAATAAATAATTTGAATGCTTGCAACGTGTTTATCAATTTATCGTTTTGTATATCTATTGCATTTGCCAACAGATTCGTATTAATAAGAATAGAAGCGATTCATTACAACGACCTTATCTTGTAGAAAAAAACGAGTGTTTGACAGACATTAGTTTAAGCGCGTCTTTTCATCGTGATTAAACCTTATTTTATGTCAAAGATGTTGAAGCGCAACTTAAGGTTAAGCGTTATGGTTTGCAATCAAACACATGAAGATAAAAGACGTGTTAATATTTCCAGATGTAGCAACTAAAATTGAAAAAGTGAAAGAAAAAAAAGGGCAAATCATCTGCAACCTCATGATTGATCAGATCACCCGCATCCATGCATTCACTCTTAAACCTGTCAACCTTATATTCGCCTTTAAGTTATAATGGCACCACTATCGGAATTACGCCAGCGTCTTCTACTTCCATATTACTTAATAAACTTCTGTTTCTGTTTAATTTTCTTTGTGATAAGATACATTCCAGCATTATGTGAATCCAATTTTGATTTGAGCCTAAGCGTAAGTCAAAGCTATGCATGAAGCAACTTTGAAAGTAGTATTCGATCATGCTCTCAGTATGGCCCTCTCGTCATTTCAATACTTTGTGTTAGAAAGTCCAGTTAGCTTACTTTGAATTCTCTCCATTAATTAGCCACCAGAAGGAAGATTATATGGAACATTATTATTCCTCTTGGTAATAAAATACCGCTCGGCCGCGAGTGCAGAAGAATTCTTATCCATTTTATTTTTATACGGGAAGCTGTACAACATTGCTATGTTTTATTGGTATGGAAAGACGCTCGTGGCTATTGCGTACGCTGTTGTGTGGGGAGGTAAAAGTCTTTTTTAGAGAACTTTGTTTCTTTCACTTTGACTGCAATTTGATTCTATAATATTAATCTGCGGACCTGGCTGCTAGGGCTATGTCCTAATCGCATGCAATTCATTAACCCTCTTTCATTTTGTTCTCTCTGTCGAAAACAGGCCTCTTTACGTTCTTTCCACAACCAACCTACCAAGGACCGACAAAAATAGTCTCTCTTTCCGCCGAAGATCTAAGTGAAATAGAACGAAATCGATTTGAAATCGAAGATGGTCCAATTGGGACAAGAACGAGGCTGGGCAGGGGTAAGGCAAAACAAGAAGACCTATACTGGGTAGTGTTTTTCTATACCACATGGAATCCAGCATCATTAAACTTTGAGTATGTCGTCGCGAGGGCGTCAATGATGTAAGTATTCAGTCGACGGTAACATTGAACAAATGACGTTGTCAGAAGCTGAATCAAATTCGAGGATTCTTACGCTCCGTCCTTTCCACCATCACCATGACTAGTTATACATCACCATCGTTGCGTTTCGGCAAGATAGATCTCGACAAATATCCTGCCCTATCTACAGATTACTCTGTGTCCCTTTCTCCTACTTCCCTTGATCTCCCAACCCTGGTACTGCTTAAAAATGGAAGAGAAATCAAAAGGTTGCCAGTAAAGTCGGAAGAATATCAAACTGGAGAGGGGAGCGAAGATAAGACTGGAAAGGGCGCCGGAGAAGTGAGCAAGAATAAGACACTAAGAAATGTCAGAGAAACTTGGGATCGATTAGGATGGGATCGGAGTTTGGTAAGGACAGAATGGACAAAGGAACAGTTTAGACAAACATAGAGAAAGGCGCAGATATGTGTTTTGAGTTTACAATCAGTGAACTGTCGAATTACGATTAATGACTCACGCACTAATTCACCTCTTATAGCAATCGGTTATCTCGGCCTTTAATTTAGAATCAATTTCCAAAAGTAATAAATCCCAATAATAACTACAAGCCCAATTAAGAGGCACCGTTTTGTTTGTGATTATTTGGGAGCCGATTTGTGTTTTCGGTTTCGCGTTTTGGAATGGAATGGTCGATCGACTGCTCTCGCAAACTTTTCCTTCTCCCGATGATCACAAAATGTCTCCATTAGATACAGCATTGTATGATTATATATAAATAGAGTGGAGTGGTTATTGAGAACGAAATCTTGGATTAAATTTGACACTAGCGTATGGACATAGTTGCTAACTTTTGATGTTACGCGTTCAAAATTTTCTTACAGTGCCTTTTTCAGTCATGTGTTTACGAGCTGTTGGGAGTTGGCAAATATAAATATGCTTGATCGATTCACAAAATTTATTGTAAAGAAATAATTGTTAGAATAACTGTTTGGTTTCATACTAATATTATTAATAAAGTATTGTGATGTTTTCTGGTTGTTCTATATTATTTAATTTCCATCAATCAATTTTTGAACACTGGTTGGTTAAATGGACTTACCCATTGAGTCAAGAGGATAATTCCCGCAATTTCTTTTAAATCTAAGCACATTCGTGCTGTGGCTTGAAAGATTCGAACCCTGAAAAGGTACTGTGGCGTTATGATCGACTTGAATTTCTGAATTTCTGTCTGCAAAAATGTTCCAGCTATTACAAGTTTATCGCCATGCCTGTTCCATTCGAAGCGCTTATTCCATTAGGTGACGTTACGAAACAGTCAAATTAAAACTATCATGGGCACATAAATTGACGCATGACTATGCAATATCGTTTACAATAATATTAGGCATTGTATCTGCCATGTTTGCAGTGACAGGCAGTTTACTAACTCTATCGAAGACGTATCTTAGAAATGAAGGAAAGGTAATATGGAAAATCTGACACTGATGGCGGGTGGATTATTTTAGAAATTGCAGACAGTTGCGAGAGGAGCTTTAAGACAGAGAGGTAAGGAACTCGAGTCAAGAACTGGTTATTATGTAAAATAGAAAGGGAGAGACATATTTTGAGTCGGTGAGGAAAGAGTAAGGTTTTGTTGAACGCGTACACATTTTACAAAGTAATTGAATGACGTTGCTAACATTCGTATATTTGGGGGGGTTTTTTTTTTGCTGATAGGTTGATGCGTAATATGTACAAATCATTTGTGGCTGGCAATTCAACGATTAAGAATCTTGTAGTAAAGATCGTCTTACTCATCATTCTCTTCAATACTTTTCTTCATCCTGCACGCCAACACCGAATTCTTAGCCGCCACGTTTTGCTCGAGATTATTGGGACAAGCAAATGATGGAACGTGATTTTCGACTAACGGGGACTGTTCGTGGACAAACCGTTAGTGAATTTGATTAAGATGACTTTTTCCCTTTTTCCACTGTTTTCTCTTTTAACTGTGTTTTTGTTTCTTATACGTCCCATCCATCAGTCAAATCCGGTAGCACCGCCAGAATTTGCAACAAGTAGTATTTGGTATGTCGGATCAAGGAGAATTCGATGATCCTACAAGTATGGCTCCAATAGCAGCTGTCTGTCGAACATGGCCGCGAGGAGGATTAATGAACGAGAGCAAACGAAGATGATGAGTACGCGCCATTAGGTACCGCACCATTTAGAAGGCGTCTGATTTAACTAATAAAGAACTGTGTCCGCTTTCTTTACGATTTCGTGGCAAAAGGGAATTAATCTTGTGAGATAATCGAATAATTCTTGAATCACTTTCAAAAGTCATCCACTGAATACGTAGTTTATATCCTTGATGTACACGCAACCGATTACATCATAAGGAAGCAGAGTCTAAAGCGAGACAAGCTACATGTCGAAAAGCAACTATCAACACGTGATTGTGGCGCTATCTGAATTAAACTTAAAATAACAATAATGTCAAACAAATTTAATGACATGTCGTCTCGTAGTATTAATACGGGATTTCAGCATTAATATCAAGAAGAAAGTTCGATGACCATAAGACTATTATTGCAATGTTACAGCTTATGTACATCGTTCCACAAAATGTATTTAACTAGTTTAATAACCACTGTTTTATGTTTGTATCCTTCCATTTTCTTTTCCTTAGTAAAATGAGTATACAAGTAACCGTGAATTGGGAGAAAAATCAAGTCACCTGCTCCCTTGATATCTCTCAACCTCTTTCTACCATAATAAAGTCATTATGTCTGGAACAGTTTGACATTCAAGAGCCAGCAGTTCTGTACGCACTAAGACTGCAAGAAACTGAAGAGCTCATCACGGAAGAGGTTTGAAACGTACAAGTGATTTCCTACGATAGATTAATTTTTGAGATACACGTTGAATTGATAAATAAGGCCTTGTTAGATATGGGCTTGACTAAATTGTATCTGTCTCATGCTAATTGTAGAATTTGAGGAGAAAAGTCACCGAGAATGAAAGATTAAAATTGGTTGCGTCGCCAATCATTGAAGCAGCTGAAGTTTGTGAAAAGTTGGGGTCTAACGATGAGAAGACGTTCAAGCTCACAACGTTTTCCCTTCAGAAGTTGATCAGGGTAATGCTCAGTAATATTCGTTCGGCTCGAATTTTTAGTGTGGGGTCGTTTGATGATCGAGGTCTTGATGATTCTCCTTTTCCAACCTATCTAATGCAACTGTTAGGAAGTAGAATTCTTTGACGAGTTTCTGAGAAGAGGGGGATTGCGCTCTCTTATCGAGATTATAAATACAGCGAGTGGTAATACCCTTGCCTATGCGTTGACATCTATGCAAAATTTGATGGAACATGACCATGGTTGGGAAGATCTCGACACACTCTTCATTAACAAGGTAGTTTTTAGTTTTAATTTTTATGTCAGCATTTTATTCCCAAGCGCGATCTTTTGCTTATACTCTTCATTTTTGCTTGATCTCAAAAAGGTTATAAAAATACTTGTCAAGCAAACACTTGTCAATATTTGTCGTCCCGCAACTGCGATTATAATCAAACTTGTCACTGCCGACAAGAACTCGCCGAATTCTCCAATACGTTGTTATGGGTTTGATGTGCTTCATGATGCGATCTTATTACAACCTAATTTCCTGCCAACGTTGGTACAGCGCCTCGCGTCTGCTGATTATGTGCTACGCCTCAACAGTCTTTGCCTCATTAACGCTCTCATGAGACATGTTACTGACCAGTATTGGGAGTCGTTTATGGATATGTTGAATAAATTGAATGTTAGAAAAGCCGTCGCGGTACGTATAAAATTCTAGATGTTTGAATTGGTATACGAGTATGGATTATCGAGCAGTTAATCATATTCGGTTTTCCTTGTCTGACATTCATTTGACGTTTATTTTAGCTCCTCATGAATGGTCATCCAAACGAGGAATTATCAAAACACCTTTTGGAATTTCAGTCACTGTGCGTTCGACAAGCTTATAGATGGAAGAGGACTCAGGTATCTCTCCACATTCCTTCACATAAAGCTACTTTGGAGGAACTATGGACAAACGCTAATTTGCCAGAAGACGGAGCAAAGTGGAGGAAAATAGGATTTGCCGTAAGTCCAAAATAATTATAATGAAGTTGAGAATAATGCGCTTCTAGTTTTGGGATTAAGCCCAATATTATTTCTACTGACCTGCTAATATCCATTCACCTACTACAGACAGAGGCGCCTAAATGGGAAATACAGCGCGTCGGTTATCTTGGTCTAGAGAATATGCATGGATTTATGAAGAAGGACACTGAATATTATCAAAAGGTGAAGAAAACACATTCGAATGAACAAGAGTTTGGGAACAAAATATTATAATAAGGATGACATTAGAGACTCAAACATGCATTAGTTAATAATTTGCTGATTTTAGACATTACTAGAGCAAATCAATCGACCGGCTGAAAGAAGATGTCCATTTGCCCGAACCTCAATTGAGGTCACGGAATTACTATGTGACTATTGGGACGTTAGTACTGGATGTAAGTTTGAAAGAGTTTGAAAGTTGGAAACCTCGAAATTTAGTAAAAAACATTCATATGTTTTATTATTATTTTTTCCAATCCGAATCCAGACACAACCTCCACTTCATTTCAACCGTTACTGCTCTCATTCAGTAAGATCCATTACATTACTGTAAAGGCTTTCTTCCGTATGTGGCACGAGATGGAAGCTACTGTAGATGACTTCCCAAAGGTATCTGCTCTCGTGAGGAGTCAATTGAAATTCGCATTACGTGATGAAGCATCGAAGCAGTTATACGAATTTGAGAAGGATATGTTAGAAGTAGAATATAAAGTAATTAGAGATAGACAACTGAAAGAGCTAGAACTTGGTGATGACTTGTTGAGTAAGACGCCTGTTAGGTATGTATGATGAAGAATACTGGGATACAAAAGGACAAGGGGAAGGACATAAGTTATCGTAGTGGTTTTGAGTCTATTTGTTCCGTGTCCTTACGTTTTCTTTTCTTTTCTTTTTTTCCTCTCTCTCCTTTTAGAAATCTCCGTAGCAGATTGTATGCAGAATCATACGAAATCGTAAAACAGCAAAGAATAAAATGTCTCCTTCGTGGTGCATGGTTTCCTATATCACCTCCTGCTGCGAATACCCAACCTCAACAAACTGGTCGTAGATCTTATTCAAACAAGAAATGGAGATTTTATCGTTTGAGTCCTAACCGAAAATTTTTACATTATGGGGATTTTATGGAAAAGATCGAGTTAAGGGACGGAGTTGAGGATTTGATGGAGAGAAGTAAGTGGACAAAATTGTATCGTTTTCTGATTAATATATTATCTAATGCTTTCATTTCTTCCTTCCTTGCCAAACCTACAACCCGCAATCATTGTTTAGTTGATTTAAGCCTTGTAACAGATGTAATAACCGGACAATCCTCCCAACAAGCTACGCTTTCTTCTTCCCCTCCGCGCGCAAAGATCCATCGCTTCTCACAGGATCTTTCCTTTTCTCTCACATCAGGCCCTGACACGTCTCTTGCTGATTTTGTTGCCTCCGACCCGATACAGTATTCGGAATGGACTGACGGTTTTAACATGCTATTTGACAAAAATATCCGATCAAATGATACCGCAGAGCATATTCACGTGTTGACCGAGATTGGAGTTAAAGTAAAATTGTTGGATTTGAGCGGAGAACGCGTAGAGATACCGCAAAGTGTTGAGGTACCGTCCGAGCTGCCGTTAGTTTCGGGAGGATTTTTTTACGATGACCTGTTTGCCTGAATATTTGGGAATCGAGAACGTGTGGTGAGACGTTGAGAAAAGAGTTGCATATTCCAGTTGGGATGTTGGCTAATGTACATTTTGATTTTGAGAAAATAATAATTTGTTTAACGGCGATATTGATAATGTGGATGGAGACGTATCCGAAACACATCTCTTGGACTTGTCTTCTCTTTACATTAGAGAACATCTGATTATATAATCTGGTCAATAATTCTTAGACTTATTAGAAATTTAATTTGTTTCATTATTTTTATTTATTCAAGCATTCCCAACCCATTCTAATGCAATATAATAAATCGTCTTCATGTAGAAGATTGTGAAGAGGATTGTTTCGTGTGAATTTTAATTTCTTATTTAATTTGAAGATTTGTTCATTCCCACTTTACAGCATAAGTTACTTATAATGTCTATTGTTATTATTAAGAGCTTTGTTAATCACTTCTTTTTTTTATCCTCAACGAGTTCAATGTTATCTTCTGGAACCTGTAGATCATGATCACCGTTACAAATGAGCACAGATCACACAACTTGATTCTTTATCCCCTTTATAAGCAATGACACAAAAATCTTCAACTTACATTCTTCCACGTCGCTGGGATGAATTCTTCTAAATCGTCACTAACATCTCCCTGAACAACTATCTCATCGTTTCCTTGATTGTTTTTTACTACCGATGACCCACATGCAAACTTATTGGCAAACGTCTTTGCTGCTTTCTTCAGATCAATGTCTGTTTGAACGGAGAATTCAGGTAAGACTGTGGGCAAATGCCTGCTTGTATTGTTTGCTTATGGCTTACCAAAATTCTGAAGTCCATAAACACTCGTAACACATTTTCGTTTATTTCGTGCGATGCGGGTGATAATCACTTTCGAAGCCTGTTGATCGTTATTTATTTATTTATTTTGCCCCGAGATTATAAATACCCATTTTTCAATAATCGAAGATCAATTTTAAAATCAAATATATAATTCTCACCCTTTTCTTTTCTAGTTCGCGTTCTATCTTTGCTGCTTCTATAATCATTGATAAGCAGTTGAGCAAAACACGGCAACATAATGCAATACTTTAACGGTCAAAACTTGCAACCAACCTCTGGCTTTCTTTTTATCTTCAGCGTCAGCAGTCTGATTGTCTTCTAATGATGTATTGGCCATTTGGTCTTCGAGAGCTTGGAGGCATATTATGTTAGTCTTGAGCACAATGATGCATAATTAGAAATAAATTGAACATACTTTGTGTATACAAATTCTCGTACAGATCAGGATGATGTGCTTTTAACCAAGCCTTGCATTTTTCTATCTGTGGGCCAAATTCACAGTACTGAACCATACATGAGGATTAGCAGGGATATAATACATATAAAATAAGCATACTTGTGCATCACTTTACCTCTGGGGGCAGCGAGCAGACTGTTGTGAAAGAATAGTGTAATAATTGCTGTTAGCGAGCATTGGCTTTGATAACGGTTAACCTTGGCGGATTGCCGCAAATAGACCAAATCACGAGATTTCTTTAACACATACCATCACAATATATTACTTGTTTGGCTGTAGTAGTAGTAGTCGTCGTCGTCGTCGTCGCTGCTGCTGCTGTTGTGGTCGACATAATTTGCTGTTAAACGTTATTTTTTGTATCAATCAGACTTTTTACCATTAATCATATTTTTAAATATGTGATAGGATTCTTAGCATACTGATTGGACGTCATGCAGATGACATACCCATAATTGCATCAATCGTACCTTGTAACAAATTCACCCCATGAAAACATGGATAACGTCATAATTCTGGCAACAAGCAGATAAGAAGTAAAGAACTGTCTGCGATTCAATGAGTGACATGCAGTTTTCATAAAGTATTGGTCACACAACGATGATCGAATCAAGAGCCGACTGATTTTACAGTTGTTGGTTCTTACAAGGGAAATCACACATCGCAAGAGATCAATAAGACTGTTTTCGCTCTGGGAGACCGATCGGAGAGGAGATGGCAGCAAAATGTGAAATAGAATCAAATTGTCATTAAAGATATTTTTATAAATCTACGCTCCAAAAAAAAAGAAAAAACAGACTCTAATTTTTTACAAATATCATGCGATGTGAATAAGACCTATTGATTTCATATTTTCCACCGGCATTCGACCAGTAATCAGGTAGCATAGTTGGTAACATTCTTTCTTTACAAGAAGAATCGCGAACAAACTGCAACACATGTTTCTTCCATAAAAGACTGAATCAACGAGTCAATGATGTACTAGGCCTCTACGGTTTAAAGGGTTCATATTAAAATTTCCCAAGAGACATGTGTACATATTTCCAAGTCTTGTAGATTCGTGAAATACGTTATATCCGAAAGCAAATTTATTCGCGTCTTATATGAACGTATAAAAAATGACAGCAATGGATGTTAAACGATCTCTTATCTGTATACCAAACAGATGGTGTGATGTCTTGATAGACGTGTGTCGTGAACGTATCTGCACACCGCACCGAATACCGTCAACAATAAGCCCTAACGTGAAGATGAGTGTTGTTTGGGATATAGTGGTTGGGTTAGGGAACATTGATAATAATAATCATGTCACTTATTATGTAAACTAAACACTATTTGTGATCTGGGCTGGCGATATATGAATCACAAATTGAGCATAGTCACTTGTATTGATACCTAAAAAAGCATCCGTGATCTCTGTGGAAGGAGGTGAACTGTCGCCAAGTATCATACAAAGCGTTAGTATTAAACGCGTAAGGAAAAACAAATTTAGCAAACAATGCTTATTTTTGAATGGATTCATTTTAGATATTTAAGCGCTGACAGTCAGGCTAAGCGTGTGCTTTGCTTGTGCAGCACGTTCAGTCTAGCTAGATCAACTTATATATTTACTCGAAATATGCCAGACAGCTCACTTTAGCAGAATAACATATAAACCATCCCAGAAATCACAGTCCACATAGTTTTCCTTACTGTATAGGTGAATTGCTCCTACAATGTTTAGAACAGTTAAATCATTAAGCACCGTATTTACGTTAAGCACCATACTCACTTTAAGCACCGTAGTACTAGAGAGCAAGAATTAGATTGGCTTTTTTACCAATAGCTAGTTTCCTTTTCTACAAATCTATTTCTTAATCATGTACCAAACCGCTGATGCCTGTGGCATCATGCAAAACGTTTTTATTAATTAGTACCAGCGTTTTAGTATCAAAACGTAGCGTGTGATTAATAAAAAGATGAGAAACGCGAAACGCCTGGTGGTAGAGCAGCTCCCGGTGGAGGTGGCCCAATTGGAGAAGTTGGACCACCAGGAGGACCAGGATACGGTCCTGGTGGATGGGTTCCTGGGGGAGGAGGCATTGGACCAGAGTAATGGCCGGGCGGTGCTCCAACTGGTGGCCTCATGTATGGCGGTTGTGGTAGACCGCCAAACGGTTGTGTTAACGATGTCGGAGACATTCCTGGACCTGAAGATGCTTGTGCTGCTAATGGCGGACGCATCATCGATGGATGTCCTACACCAGGCGGGGCACCAGCTGCTCCATGCGCAGCTGTTCCGTGATGTTGTGATCTCCCAAGCATAAGTGGTGGTGCACCAAACGGTGGAGCTGGTGGAATTGATGTAGCTGGAGGGTGCGGAGCACCTGGAGCATATCCGTACTGTGCAGGAAAACCTGATTGACCCACTCGCTCATATGCCTTTGTGATTTCATCGATAATTGCTTGCGCTTTATCTTGTCCCAGCTCTAAAACGAACGGAAAAGTTGTGTTGATCTGTAGCGGCAATCAGCGAGGAGGAAGGAAAATAAAAGTTACCTGCATAGTAATTTCGTACGTTCATTATATGATTCTTGCCATTATTATGGGCTTTGCGCACCGAGGACGAATCTGTCATAAGACAACAAGTGCAGTCAGTAGGCCTTGCAATCGCGGCGAATAACGCTTTGATTTTTTTGCGACAGGAATAACATACATACCGTGTGTTAGGTATACGTCACAATAATCTTAAAGCACGGTAGACATTAAAAACTCAAGTTAGTGAACGTTCCAAATCTCCAAATAACATACAAACTTCTTGACGCACTTTAGCTTTCCTAGGACCAACATACCGCAATAGTACTTGGGCATTGTTAAAACTCTCGATCTTTTTTTGTTTGTAGAGTTTTACATTATTTTTTGAAGTTCAAAAATTCGAGGTCAGATGACTGCATCCAATGAGATTACCGAGCATGTTATCTGATAATACACTAACAATAATAATAATTATAATATAATTATGACGAATAGATAACTTCTCAAGCAAGCTTTCATACTAAAAGAGAAGCGCAACTTTGCTAGAATGTTTTTATTTACCAGATTGGGATATGGAATACTCTTTTTGCGAAAAAGTCCTGCTCTAGTATAAAAGATAAGACGATTAATTCGACTGAGGCAAGCGCCAACTCGACAGTTCAGCTCTATTACTATTGCACAGACCATGCAAAGTGAATTATATTGTCAGCTAATATTCCGCACTTGCACGAAAAAATGCAATATTAAATAAGTATATTAATATTGGAAAGTTTGTAAACGCTGTTACATCCACTTAAAAAATATTCTTTCAACTTTCTGAGCCTTGTCCGTGTATTAGCGTTAAATTATGAGACAACAATGGTATTGATTCGCAGCATATTGTTTACAATTATAGGAAGAGCAATGTAGCATAATAATAGTACGAAAGTCAAAACGTAAAATAATAAACACAAATATCAGCATTCAATGCTCAAGGTTTACTAACTGGGTGCTTGTTTTCCTTTTGTTCTTTTAAGCTTATTAACGCGGGTTCACTCACATTGCTCTACCTTATGTGTCATTTTTAACTCGTCAATTAAAAACAAATAATTGGATAATAATACTTTTCATATAAACGCGTCGGACCTTTTCGTTTATGGCAAAAATCAAATCTATAAATATAAACTAGCATTATAACAACAAATTATGCTTTACATAATGGGATACCGGAATTCTTTTTATAGTTGATTTGCTAATCATGCTGAAATGATGCAAATCTTTCCGAATGCGTTGCATGGTACTTATTTATTCCGGACTGGGTGTACACACGTTTAGGGATGCCATGTGACTTTACTATAAACGGATTACGAACTGTTCTTAGTAAAAAAGGACTAGGTAATCGCGACACACACGAGTGTTTCGCATTGTTGTGTTTCAAAGTTTAAACCTTTTTTTATAAAAAGCAATGCCAGGGATGATATGAGCAAGCCCGGTAAAAACCATTCTGTTTAGTAAAAGGCCGAACCTGTCATAAAAATTACACCAATGTCTATTTTGACACGTTTTTTACATCGCTTCTAATTGTCTTGTGTAGAATAAATGTTTAAAAGTATGCCGTAAAATGGAAATTCTATTTGTACCATTGCATGTATTAACGTTGTATATCAAACCGCCATAATCGAAAATAATAATACGGTTAATTAAACCTAATATGTAAGAAATGTGTTCTGTTCGAAAAAGAAAACATAACGCTAGATGCCACGCATGCGCGTTACCAATTATTAGATACTATCGATGGGTACAAGTCTTGGAGGATTTTATGTCGTCAATACACGCTGAAACATCATCCACACATTTACATATCGTCTCACGTATTGTCAAGAAAGTCCTATATTAAGATGGCCCAACATGGTAAGATTTGAATATTTGTCCTGACCTGCCAAATCCCTATGAAGCACACACGTTATTTGGACAATGATCTGGATGTTTTTGGTCAAGTTTATTAATATATAAACACGAAGATATTTATTTTCTGACCATTTGCAAGTCGTGTAACATTCCCAATTTTGATAGTCCCGTTGTTGTTCATCCCGTCAAGGTTAAAACATCATTATCGCTAATTATTAGGGTTTCACTATAACGATTATCTATGACACACATAATGAGAAAGTCACAAACTGTAGATTAAAAAAAATATTTGTTTAATTGTATGGGCAAATAAATCATTTCCTTGCCTCATCACATGGACTGGTTGTGACTTGACTGTACCCCTTCCGTTCAACTTTTTATACCAAAAACGGCTTTTATTTCCCTAATGCTTTTAATTTATAACTAAAATAAATAAATAAATATAAAGCGTCCGACTGCCGTATACTCTGTCTTATTTTTTGTCTTTTATTACCCGCAATACACTCATTTAATTATATAATACCACTCCACCATGAAATCCTTCTTGCCTCTACTTTGCCTGTGTAGTTTGGCGATGGCCGAATTATGTATAGACAACAAGGCTCCCAGATTTGAGCCTAAAAACAAACCGTTAGGATGTTATGTTCACAATAAAACTATGCCCGACACTTTAAATGGCCTTTCTTCCCTGAGTCGGCCTGGATTTAATTTCTCTGATCCTTACATGGTCAATAGAGACAACATACTCATGGATGACGGATTATGCGTCGCTCATTGTGCTGACTATCTTTTCACGTTTGCAGCTCTTCGACAGGGCGAAGAATGTAGATGTGGGAACAGTGATGGATTGAATTCATACATACAAGTCCCCGACTCCCAATGCAATACAACGTGTGTCGGTGATAGTGCAAGTGAATGCGGAGGCCAAAATGCTTATACAGTTTACGGCAATGTTGTCGCCGAATTACCAGAAATCAAAGTCTCAAAAATAGGTATTGAAGAAAAAGTCACTGTCCTTCGTGATCTCGACCATGAAAAGTTGTATAAAGGTTGTATCCCAGACAGTCTTATCTGCCACCGGGAAACCTTAATGCAAGAAACCTTTGACATGACAGTAGAGACTTGTATAGAATTTTGCGACGGACACGGTTTTCCAAACGCGGGACTCGAATCAGGAACTCGTTGCATTTGTATGAAAAGCTTCGCATCTACGAGTCTGCTACATCCCGAAGAGTGTAGTACCAGTTGTGCAGGCAATAGCTCGGTAATTTGTGGAGGTCCCGTGTCCATTAGCGTATATGCTGTAGACACACAATCTGGACTTCATCCTGGCTCACCGTTGAAGCCGTTAATATCCACAATCATAACAGCAGTAATCGTATTGATAGCAGCAATAATTATTCTACATCGTTCGCGTAAACGACTTGCGAGGTATTGGGCTCGCTTACGTGGCAAGACTTCACCCGAGGACGTTATACTCTCGTATTCGGTTAACGCTAAAGATCTTGATGCTGAGACTACTCAAATTACAGACTCGACTACTCATCTTACTACAAGTCATGCTAATAGTGATGATGTTGTCAAGATAGACAGTCCGACCAAGAATAATTCGGCATACAATCTCACATAAGTTTTTCAAAGGTCGAATGTAAAGGTTCTATTGCAACAAACGCTGATAATAGAGTTATCACAGTCTAATTTTTTATATTCCGTCAAACAGTTGTATTATCTCTTGACGAAAAGGACAATGTATTTATTTTATTTACTTGGTCTTTCTATTTTTGCAGAAAGAAATAGAGGTATTTATGTGTAATATAGGAATTTTAATTTTTCAGTTCTAGAATTATTTTAGTATCACCACCATTGTTAATTACGCTGTTCAACTCGACAAGGTGTCAAGAGTTTTACAGTACTTGAGCAGAACAATTATTTTGCGTTATTTTACATTGTTTGTACACACCTGGTAGGAAGGCAAGGCTTAACGAGAATATTCTATCTGAAATTATTGAACAGTCTTGCAACTAGGTTTGTGGGTTTATGGAATGTTTGGTAAAATAAAAAAATTCGTCATTTGCTTAACAGAACTATTGTATCGACTCGTTCAAAGTTGGAATTACACTGTTTAGTTAATATACAATAAGCAAGTAACCAAATACCAAAAACTGGTGGATTATAAACATGACCGTATTCTGTAGCCAATTATGTAACAATAAATGATATCCCGTATTCACGCGAGAATGCTATTCTTATTAGTGTTATATCAACCCTTACGTAATCATCTTTATAATTGCAACTAACTGAATCTATAGTGTTAACAAGTCCATTATTTAATACTTGTATGGACATGTGTATTCTGCATACAGTCAGACCGTCTTTACCAATGGCGAGACGAGACTTTGTACTATCTTTGTCGAAAGATGTTTAGATATTTGTTGACCACTGTGCTTCCCTAAAATTAATCGTATTAAGTTGCACCAACGTCGGCTGAAATTGTGCGATACGGGAAAACAGTCATACGATTAATTGAAATCATACGATGGATCTACTTGATCATGCGGATAAAGTGACGGGTTGGCCAGTGTAAAAAACGAACGCGATTTCTACAAGGGGAGTTTTTGGTAAAAGCAAAATTCGGTATAATAAATAACGAGATTTTTGACATCTTTATTTGGTTGTAGTCAAGTTTAACGTTTCGGTGATAATTACAATTTACCGAGTTCTCTCTAATTATATATAATCTGATTTTATGACCAGAGAGACTTGAACCGGAATCGTTGCCTACTTTTGCTTGTTAATATCATGTGTATGCAAAGAGAAATTATCATGTCCCGTTTATATGCAGAATATAGAGCGTGCACTCATTATTCGACTGTACTGTAGTTTTTTGACCTCAACACATTTCGTCAAGATTTGCATGATTATTGTGTTCAGCGTGAGCATTTATGTAATAATAGTTATTATATGTAAAAGTATACACACGTAGTGACCCGAAAATTTTTTTCACAAAATTATACAGTAAAAACGAATAGAAAATGTATAAGGCAGTCAGTCACTACAAGTATGCCTTATTATCTGCTTGCATAGAATTAAAAAGTAAGACAATGAAGAGAAGGGTGAATAAACATGAATAAAAACTGTCAGTAAGACAGTCAGTGTCCTTTACAATATATGCATATCAAGCGCTTGGGGATTGTCATAAAGAATGTGAGACTATGTGCAAAATATTACGGCAATAATATAAACGATAATACATTAAATCTAATTATAATGCAACCCAAACCATTCTAAATTAGTTCCTGTCATTGGAGATTCTCTCCTCTTCTTCTGTCTGGACAATATTATTTTCTCAACGCCCACATAAAGATACCTCCAACAACCACACCGACCGCAAATGATCCGCCAGAAATAAACATGTACTCCTTGATTATGTCGTCATTACTTCGAGGTATTTGGTTTCTTTCTGACATCACTTTCTCCGGCATTTTAACGTCTAGCCTAATCAGCGTCCAACGACTCCGTTTTGCCAATTGCAGAGCATTCGCAAGATCTTCGTCACTTGATAACGCCACCTTATCGTTCTCGTCATCAATGTAGCTCACGTACACAACCTCCTCGGTTTTTAACGACATTTTCTGTTTAATCAAGGTCAAAAACTCACGATACTCCCTGCAAATGGAGCTGAATCTATGCGTTTGTCCTGTCTGCGGATCTTTAAACTTGTACATCATCGAGCCAGGAACTGTTACTTTCACCTTTGAACTCGTTGTCTCTGAATATCGTCTACTTTCTGCCATCTGCTCTTCAGAGGATGGGGTCGTGGCTCTATTCGATGCCTCTTTTATTGATGGCATATCGCCAGACCCAGATGATAGGACCCGTTGATCGGAAAGAGTACGTTCCGATGAGGCGTCCTCTAACGAAACTGCATTCCAGAATTTACTCCAGACAGGTCCGTCGCCTTCTTGTCCTTCCATGTGTTGAAGCTGAGTAGTAGTCGAGACCAGTTGTGGACCCAAAAATGGTGAACATAATTCGGGAGTATGTGGAGAAGACGAAGGAGGTGTTGGGAGTGAAGATTGGGGGGGAGGTTTCGGATTAGAGAGTTTGATAGATGTACGGGTAAATGTTTTATAAAGTTTAGAAGGTCTTTTGGAATTTGTACAAATGGGAATTTTGCTCGGTTTACAATCCTTCAAAGGCATCAAAATCTGCCCAGAAGTAGGACTATCAGGGGGAGTGAGCATAATTTTACAAACAGAAGGCGGAGAAATAGAAAAAGTAGTAGAATGTGGATATTCTAAAGTGTTAAGAGATGAAATGATGTTGGGATTTACCGTTCTTAGGGTTGCATAAGTTAATTGTAGAATATCGACTATTCCAACTATGCCATTAGCTTTATCGAATAAAGGTAAATGTTGATAACGCCCCTCTGTAAAGCAAACGAAAGGATTGTTGAGAATGGGAAAGAAACCAGAGAGTATCGATGAACGAATAAAAAATAAATGTGTACCTTGCATAGTTCTGAGAGCATCGAGAATCGTTGTTTCTGGAGATGCCGTATCAGGATTTGGTGTCATTACTCGCACTGCTGACGTTGTAGACGGTTCCAGTTTTCCGGCAATGACTCTACAATTGAAAAGAAAATGAACGAATGAACAACATGCGAACGATAAATAACGCTGATATCTCTCGAGGCGTGTGCCGCGGTCGAACCAACACAAGCTTATATTACCTGACAACTAAATCCTTTGACGTAAAAATTCCCACTGTGCGTCCATCTTCATCAAGAACGAGAACTGCCGTCTGATGCTTTTCCTTCATAACTCTTGCTATTTCTCTAACATTTGTTCGTAACGAGACCTCTGCCGGCGATTTAGTTGGGTCCAGGATAGTCTGCAATTGAGGAAAGCCCAACTGCTCACGGAGTACTCGTACGTAAGAAGCAACCTCGCGATTGTGCGATGATTCGAATTCCGACATTGTGTCAAGGACATCGGATAACTGTTTTGTGGATCGATTTGCCCGTTCCAATTTTGCGAGCGCATCCAAGAGACATTCGGTAATGTCTAGTATTCCAACTATTTTTTCGGTACGGTTATCGGTTACGGGCTAGGAGTTGGAATAATGAAAAAAGAGGGGTTATAGGTTAGACTAGACAAGATCAAATACTTTACGGAGAGCCGGGGAAATATCTAGTGATCATCTCTCCGCATGCATTTGCCACTATAGTGGCTTTCAGACGATACCGTTTCCCCTACTCACCAAATGTCTGAACCCTCCGTTGACCATTTCATTCAAAGCATCAGTTGCGTTATGTGCAGTAGTAACTGTACACGGGTTTCTCGTCATGATCTCCCCGAGATATGTATTATGAGGATCTAAACCCTCTGCAATGACTCGGAAAGCAAGATCCTTGTCTGTCACAATACCCGAGAGTTGGCCGTTTACATCAGTCACCAGCACGGCGTCCGCCCTATAAACATAACAGATTAATGAGCTTTGGGTGGGTGCAAAGTAGACTAGGTATGATGAGAAAATGTCGAGACATGCTTTACCGTTTTACAGTCATAAACCTCGCAGCATCATAAGCAGTATCGCTTTCTGTGAAAAGTTAAATAACGTTGTGTTAGATAAACGCCTTTGTATAGTCCGGTTTTACATGTCCTCGTTCTGCATTAATGTCACCGGTCTCGAGTATATACCTGAAAGGATTATTGCAGCTAGTGGCCGCAAGTTGCCGACTGTGCCACCTATTCTGGGTGGAGGGGTTCTGTCTCTGCCCCGTCTACCTGGGTTTAACTTTAATAGTTCCTGTTCAGTCCTCTTTCTGATACTCTCGTCCTTCTTTTGTGTTCGCCTCCTCGCTACATCAGTAGAGTGCGTGTCCGCCGCAGAGTTTAGTCCATCTCTTGATTCGGTACTTAATGTCCGTGCTCGGAAAGAAGTCGGAGCTTTTAACATTGTTGGTATAGTATAGAACAATTAGTGGGAAAATGTGTGAACGAGCTCTCACGCTTTTATTAGAGAGGAGAAATTATATAGAGAGGGGGGAGGTGAAAAATAAGATATTTTGTATATAGAGATTGAGTGTATGCAGTGAAAGGAGTGTCGAGTTTTTGATGGACTAATTTATGGTAAGAGCGGAGTTTTGAGTTGTGCGCCAAGTAAAAGAAAGATGTTTTATTTCACGTGATATCAGATACCAAGTTTATCAGTATGAAGCGGGATGAGCGAGTCATGCAGGAGTGTGTATCTGTTATTGCCATTATTGTGACCATTTTAATATATTGATTGATTGTTATCTGCAAGCCATTGTATGTTATTTGCGTAGTATTCCGATATACGGAAAGAGATTAGATAATTATGTCGAGTGGGCAGACAAGGAAATCTTGAGTATTTGACATTAGATTGCGTTTGTTTGAAGGATACCTTTGTGTCTTAACCTTATTATTGTTCTCAGAGTGGACGGGTGGTTTGACACTGTGAACAAATAAATATCGTTGTCGAGCGTCCTTATTCGTGGAATACGTCCCGCCTTCCCCCTAACCAGTCTCATGTAAGAATATGTAATATATAATAATAATGTCTCGGGTTTACCAATAAAATGAAACATATTAATACGTTAGCCGTTTTACTTATTTAAACAATGTTGCATCAAGTGAGTCATTAAGTTTGTATAACACATACTCCACGTGGCCCACGGAGATAACAAATCGGAATTGAAGTATGTCAAAATTTCCTAAAAATAACATAAACAACTAACCAATTTCAGATTTCAACACATCTAATGGTAATGTCAATTAATCATTCTCCAATCAGAAACTGCAACTATATTCAGTTCTCGTAATATATATAAATACTAATTTCCACTGTTTGAGAAAACGAAGAACCACAGTAATATCCACTCTCACAATGCGCCTGAATCTCATCGCCACATTCATTACTACATTAGCTGCCTCTGCTGTAGCTGACTTTAAATTCCTCCAACCTAATTCCCAGTTTTATGCTGTCGCTAATGCTACCACCACTATCACGTGGGACTATTCTGGTGATGGTAAGATATCAAAATATCACATGGAAATCTTCGTTCTCATATTCTTGGCTATCATAAATTAAAATGTAAACATTATCTATCATATCATCAGTCCCGCAAGCCATCAGCATCCGTCTATCGAACAAAACTCCCAGCAACACGACATTTGTTGGTGAGCAAGGTATAGTCGCGTCCGTCCCAGTTAGCAACAAAAAATATGACTGGGCTGTACCAGCATCACAACCAATCGGTGATAATTGGATACTCAACGCATACCCGGTTGTTGCTGCTGACAATTCAACTACGCCTCCGTCATTAGGCGTGAGTGATGCATTCAGTATTAAACCCGCCGGTACTGAACCACCAAAAGATACAACTTCAACATCTCCCTCTTCACCATCATCGACATCCTCTCCCTCTTCCTCAAATTCTACTTCCAATGGCGGCGACAATAAGAGTGCGGGTACCCGTGAGAGTGCAGTGAAAAGTTTGAGTTTCGTTGTCGGAATTATCGGGATTACTTTACTTAATAATTTGTTCTAAATTCTGCGAAATTAGATAGTAATTAATATTGTCCATCACATCAGACCGTTCAATCAACGCTAATCTTGCTATTATAGAATAATAAAGACGTCATAATGGTAGAGATAAACACTATGAAGTTGTCTTTTTTGTTCCTTCAAGAGGTTATGATTCGATGCATTGTTATCGCCACGCAATAGTTCAAAATCTGTCAAAGTCTTGATTGAGAACAAGGGATTCGTTATCGTTATCAGATACAACGAATCACGAATAGGTTGTGATTTACAAGGGTTGAAGGTTTTCTGCTATGTCGATCCGGCAATCATTGGCTAATACTAAGGTTAAACTAAAGAGTACAATTATTGAGGTTAATACTATTTAAGTTCAGATTTGATATGCAGTCATTATCGTTATACCAAAAGTACACCTTCGTAATCTGTATGCAAATCACGTTATTGAAAAAGTACACCACTATAACAATAATTGTTATCCCGTCATTCATTGGTGATCTATGACGGAAATCGGATCGAAACTTTTTATCTGCAGATGTGCGGCAAGATGCATAGATGCATATTAGATTTATCATGCACAGGATTTGACGGAAATTCATTTCTACGGAAAAGAAAAAATGATGTTGGCTTTGCAGGAAATAAAGATTAACAAATAGATTGTTTTCAAATATGTATCGTTGCTTCATGAATATTTCATGCGTTTCAGATAGGCCATGTAAATTCATTATACCTATCTTTTACTTTGTCATGTTCCTCTGACGTCAAAACCGAATATGAAGATGTGACCTAATAACACGATTATCAAGATGCTGCGGCCATCAGTTATTTAAGAGATTTTATTTGATCTGCCATGCACAGTCATGAGAACGTCGCCATTGCTGAACGTCATATTGATATACTCATGTTCCGTTTTTTTTGACGACTCGAAATATATAGATTTCTTGACCGGATTGTCACGCAACTTTTATTTTTCTTTCGTTAGTGGTGCAGTTACCGCTCCAATGACATCAATTATAGTTTATTGACGTATTTTGGGCATTTTACAAGTTAAACAGTTGATTCAAATTTGCTGGTATGACGGAAACTTTAGCAAATCTGGCCGATAATTTAAAAAAGTTTTTAGCAACATAGCTTTGGCCTATGTACAGTATATGGACTACACAACATAAAACTTGGTTGAGGCAAAGTATTTCATATAGACCTATCTCCATTAAATTTTGAATTAATTTACGTCAAATCTACCCCGAGACGATAGAATTACTGCCAATTAGAAACAAGAAATTACACCTTATGGTTTTCAAACAAATGACACCCAAACTCTACAAAAAACATTGTTTATGAAATTTATGAAAAATAAACATGAAGAGAAAAGGCAGCATGAATGTTAGAATACATCTTCACTAAAGGCAAAAATCTCTGGACGAAAAAAGAATAAATAAATAATAATAATAAACCAAATTTATTATCTTTTTATATTAAATCTGTAAACAATACGAATATTTTGCTCCAACAATAATTACCGTTTATTGTCATAATTATGATAAGATTGAAGTAAGAAATTTTAGGATTGCAGGCTAACTGACTTTATACAGGATACATTAATAACAGAAGTCAATATGCATTGAAAACATGGAGATTATGACATAAAGAAATGTCAAATTACCAACAGGCTATTATTATTATTATGGTGCTCAATTATAATATGGGGTAATTGAACATTTGGCTAAAAAAAGCTGTTGTCAATGGATATGACTAATGATTATTCAAATGATCTACCCCGGCAAAGATAGCTAGGAGACGCGCACGATTTCATTTCAGTATCTTTTTAACTCAGCCCCAACATATTTAATTTACTTAAACGGAAGAGTAGTAAAATTTCGAATTATATGTTTATTCAAAGGATGTTGGGCTGCTAAACTAATATTGTAGATTGACTTTAATAATTTATACGAACAGAACTAATTTCTGCCTTTGTAATCCGAACTACATCTCTTAGGTAACCTACATCTCTTACTCCTCGTCAACATCCGACAAGCTCAAATCTGATAAGGGAGGTAACTGATGAGAATAATTTCTTGGTTTGGGCAG